TAGGCCCGCATCACCGCGCTACTGTTTTGGTGCGCAACCCCCGGTCTCCTGCTTTGTTTTGGATAAGAACAGCGAAAACGAGGTCATTTTCTGTGAGCATGCGCAGAATGCAGCTTATTTCACTTTCGTTTTGGAGGTTCCTGTCAACACACGTGATTCTACGGTGTCGGAAAGTTTTGCCCCTTCATATTAATGGTTTTCGTAACCGGTATCGATCAATTTACTAAGCGCTTGAGTAGTCGATTATTTAGCACATCTAGCTAATCTAGCTCTAATGTATCGTAGAATGTATACTAGAATCGATAAATACTATCGCAGGCTGCTTCTTAATGCCCAGGAACGTGTTAGATAGGGTTGCGCACTGAAGAGGACCAAATTTGGGCAGTCCGTTTCGTGCGCAATATCGGCTTTTTTGCTATTTGGCATTGATAGTGTGGCTTCTAGGCCCTTTGTTTGTTTTACTTATTAAGTTATTTCTCTATGACCTGCATTGTGCACTGAAACAGACTGTTTTCCTTCCATTTGGATGCATTATATTGCCATTGGAAGATGATAAGTTAATGTATTCATGTCAAAATTAATTAATATGGAAATATAATCTCCAAAATGTTCAATTTCTTCTTTTCATGTCTTTTTCTTCTTCTTTTTTGCCCTTTTCCTTAAAGAATACTAGTCTAGGTATAGTCTAATTCTTGTTTTCTTCTTTCACTTCCTTGTGTCCACAGCACCTTTCTTTTAAATCGGGCCCCGTGAGGGGGGTACCTATTTGTTTTGTTTCGTTTATAGGGGGCGCACAGCTCCCAAAAAGAACACGCCTAATTGACCTTGGCCTTCCATTATGGTCAGTACAGGAACTTCTTGCAAGGAAAAGAAGACAAAGCAAGGATAGAGAAAGATGAAAAGTGTCAGAAAAGAGCTAGATCTAGATCTAGAGCTGTAAACATGGTACTATTGCGCACCAAACAAGACGATATGTTGCACCAAACCAGAAACCTTGCGCACCAAACCAGACACACGTTACCAAACAAACACCACCACAACATATAGAAATTTTAAACTGCTGTTACAGTAATGCGCTACACCGTATAGAGAGGAAGTTTTTCTAACTTCTGGTGAAAAAATCATGAAGATCGACCTGTAACTTCCAGAGATATCCACAAAAGATCGCTTACTGTATATCGCACCACAGGATGTACTCTAGAAATCTAGATTCTAGATTTAATATGAAGGAATTTCAGGCACCACTTGTTACTTCTCTTTATACATTACTTGCTCAGTGCCTGACTGTAATTATCTACACAAAAAAACCTCATATTTGCTATAAAACGACACTCCAATTCAACGAGATTTTAAGCGACCTCGTTGAATCCGATTCTAGATCTCTAGATCTAATCTAGATCTAGATATCTAATCTAGATCTACTTTCTAGTCCTAGCAGACTGCATCCCCACCAGGTCTAGAATATCTAGATCTAGATCTAGACTCTAGATCTAGAATCCAGCAGATTGGGTCAATGTCGACAATGTTGGAGCCTGGCTGATCTACTTGCCCTCCAACCAAGTCCTCCACTGCCTCAAACTCAAAGGCAGGCAAAGCTAAGAGTAAGGAGTAGATCTAGATATAGAGTCTAGAGTCTAGGTTTAGATTCTGAACAGTAACAACAGAAGTACAGTTTAAATACCTTTTTCGGCAGCATAATCTTTAGGAGCCATTGTCGAATCACGAGTCGCTAAATTATTAAAGGTCACTCCCTCTGTTACAGTCTGCTTGGCCTACGTTTTCGGTTCTTTCTGCTTGCTGCTATTAATTCTTGGTGTTGTGACGCTGCTCAGGCTGTGTGGCAAGAGCGCGCCAAATAATGTCACGTGATAATATTTACTTCCGGGATAACCTTGTAAATGAAACGGAGCCGTAATATTTCATTTAGTTAGTTCCCTTGGTAGGCATTACCACTTTGCTTGCACTTTTTTTTCTTGCCGTTTTGGATACTGTTTTTGAGTATTTTGTCTTCTTTGAAGTAATGTAAAGCATTGGATGATATCATTGTTGTCAACGTTTGTTCTACCTCCACGACAACAAATCAACTTTAATAAAGTTCAACCGGCGTCTGCAGTGTAGCGGTTAGGCACTTCGCCGTCGCATGCAGAGGACTCGTGTTCAATTTCTGTGAGTAGGCTAGGGAGAATTTTATATAGAGTGTCTCGGTCTATCAGCTGGGATATTGTATTGTAAGGAAGCCGCCTCTTAGATCTAAATAGTGATTATTTTTTTTTAAAAATTTTTTGTAATCAATCTTTTTCTTCTTTGCGTTCTCCTGCAAGATGTCAGGAGAAGACTGATGGTTCTTCAACCTGCAATGCAACTGATTTTTACTTACCGCAGGGCCCCTTGCCTTCACGAAACCATGCTCGGGTTTTGAATGTACTCTTTGTGTTTCTATATTGATCTAGATCTAGAGTGCTTTCAGCTGTTTTAGGAATTAATCTAGAATTTTTGCTCTGGTGGCGGCCGAAGCCTACTTTTGTCAATTTCAAGACCGCCAACTTGCGCAGCAAACTGGACTTCTGAGATTATTCGCTCTTAGGCTACCCGAGAAGGCTCGGTATTCGATGATACCTGCCTGCTGTAGGATCAGAAAGTCGCTAAAAGACAACAGTAAAAAGGAGACGGAAGTAGCAGTTAAAAGAGACGGGACTAATGTAGAGAGGAACTCAGAGGAGGCCAGGGAGTGGGGATTTTGTTCGTCACCCTCGGGTTTCGATCACGGGACCTTTTGAATAAGAGGCGAACACCGTACCCCAAGACTACAATAGCAAAATAAAAGA